CATAGAAAAATATACATAGAAAAAACAGGAATTTCTCCCAGTAAGTATTATTAGTAGGTTAGATGGGAGTGGTTCTAGAGTGTCAACACGTGCTCACACTACTGAGTGGCTGCAGCCTTGCTCACTCCAAGAGGTCTCTAGCTGTCCCTGAGCTGTCCTTCAGCTCCCACGGCAAGTGCCAGGAAGAGATCTGGCCCATTCTAAGAAGTATCTTAAAATCCTCCCTGGAAGCACACCCTGAAGACAATCAGCCACTTCTCCAGGAATACACTGAGTGAGTATTCAGTGTTTTTTAAATCCCTCATCTGATCTAGCAAAGTCCATGAAAGTTAGAAAAATCCCAAGTCATCTCTGAGTATTCTGGTAGGTGTCCATGACAGTCTTGTGTGTGGAGCACTGGAAGCACATGAGTTTAATTCTGTTTAAATGTAGCTTTAGAAGCAAAGGGGAAGCCTTTAGACACTGGCAATGGGTGTCTGTGTATGTCGGGGATAAATGAGTGGATGATTTGGTTGTATTCAGTCTTTAAACACTTGTCTCCCCTTTGCAGAACTGGCTTTTGTAAATTCTGTCAAAAGAATGAAGAACTTTTAATGGGAAAGGTGGTTGGACCCTGTTGGAAACATGCAATGTTCCTGGGAAACAGTCCCTTCCTAAAACTCTTAATCCTACTAGAGAGAACACATGACCTAGGAATGCCAAGTTCTCTAGCCACAGCCACTGTGCAGAGGTGGCCAGGCGGCTTTGAAAGCGTGAGGATGTTTGTTTCCTCACTGTGGATGGCAACAACTAGCGAGCACCGCCCTAGCTCTGCTCGGCTTCCCAGATCATCAGCTTCTATGTGCTTATTTGATGGAGCTTCTTGAATTGGTTTCATGTTCCTATGCAACAAATACTGGTTACAGCTTCCTAGACTCTTAGGGAAGTTTGTTTCAGATACAGTTGTAGGGTGGGTCTCCTAGGGACATTTTCCCGACTGCAGCCTTGATTAAAGGAGTCACACTAACAAGTGTTTCTGAAGGTGAAGTGCTCTGAGGAAATGCAAGGACAGTGCATTTGAGGACTCAGCGTACTGTGAACACGGAACACATACCAAATGTTCTGAGACGTCACATATTTCTCTGCTTTACCTGGACCATGTTACACAGTATCACCTATTCACACCCTAGAACACGTGTTGGAAAACTCCATCCCACACAGCTTAATGCCATATAACATGTCTGAATCTCTTGCATGCTGGATCTTAAGTAGCCTGGAGTCAAGTCAATTTTTTTTTTAAAGTGAGTAATAACTAAATACTAAATGGAGCCTTTCCTCCATATCCCACTGTGAATTGAGAAATGGGATTTCAATTTCACAAATCAGTTTGTGCCGTAGGTCAGTGGCCGTAAAGCTGGGATGGGAAGGCCTCCGTATCATGTATCATAACTCAGCTGGGTGAGCTGCTACCCAGCGGTGTTGTTACTTTTAGCTCATTGTGAACTGACTTAACCGCGTTCCCAGAGGAGTATTTTAAGTGTTCTTCTCAGGTGTCCACTAACCATCCCCATCAGCTTTGGCACGTTTTAACCCCTTCATATTGGAGGAGAAAATGACTCTGATTCAGACATGATCTGTGACACCATTCTCTCTTAGTCCTTTCCGTGGCACCAGAGGCTGAGCTGTCCATCTTCCTCCCCTGCTTTTCAAGTCCCCATTTGGCCAGCTGTAAAAATTGTTTGTGCTCTTGTCCTATCCTACACTCCAGGCTAAAGTGCTGCTCCTCTCTACTGCAAAACGGGACTCTGTGCTGTTCCCCAGCAGCCCCACTTGTATCCACAACCTGTGAGTTTTGCTCTTAGAATGGTTTCTCTGCCTCCCCACTTCACTGCAGTTCTTTAAAGCCAGGCTTATGAAGTGTGTATAAGAACTAAAAGGCATCTCTTGTCTCTGAATCTTTTTAAAATTTTGATTTTAATTTGTAGAGCACCCACTACTTTTACGTGTGAGACTCAATTTGGCTTTTGTTTGTTTTTTAACTAAAACTTATATCCTGCTTCTGCATGGCACCCTTATCATTTTGGTGATCCCTGATGTGTTTTTAAATCTCAGCGCTGTAATTAGTAATTTGGTCTTTCAAGTCTTTCGGGTCTTTCACTGTTTTGTATTCGTGATAGCAGTACTTTGCAGATTTCAGCGTGCAGTTGACTCCGGAGCCAGGATGGCTTCCAGGAGTCATTCTGAGCTCCTGGTAGTGGTGGTGGTGGTAATTTACAAACCACAATTTGAAAAGCAAGACTCTGTGACACTTGGTACAACATACAACTATCACAGAAAAATGGTAGGATGCAGTTAAAATATTCTGGGTATTTTAAACAGTGGTGATGCTGTTTTCATGGCTAGTCCTTGCGAAGCTGGTAAACAACAATGAACCTCTACAATCTTTCTTTTAACTTAAAGCCTAGAAAGTCTGCATACACTATGTGGGGGGATAAGAAGGAACGTGGGGACTACCCTATCCTTCTGATGTAAAAGCACACATCCAAACATACAGTTCCATATGTATCTAGAAATAAAACACAAAAATAATAGCTTCCACACCATTCAGACATTTCCTCCTGGAAAGTATGACATGGGCAGAGGCAGCACATATGCGGGACATCTGGATCACACACTCGTGGGCAGGAAGAACGAAACGTTCCCTTACAATACCTCTATTCATCAGTACTTTGGTGAGTTGGAGACTCAGACCCATCCATGATGGGAGAGTTTTCTGTTGCTTCTCTGAACAAAGGAAAGCGGAAGGAGGAAGAGAAGAGAGTTCATGTTACATAGGAGAATTGACACATGTGATTAGTAGCTTATTAACACAGTGGAAAGACCCAATGATTCTACACCCACGTGTCTGCGACACTGCAGTCTCCTCACTGAGGAACAAAACCTCATTAGTTCTGTTAGAAGGCAGGCAGGGCAATTTTTACCCCTTGTCTTGTTTTCTTGTCACATTATTCTTTTTTTTTTTTTTTTTCACATTATTCTTGAATAATTCTCAGTCTGGCAAACACTGGACTTTAAGGACAATATCTTATTGTTTCCAGTTTGTCCTGAGCCCTCACTGGCTACATGTGGTAAAAGAGGAAAATATAAGGGCCAACTTGAGTGAGTGGGCATGGCAGCGCTGCTCAAAAATTTCAGAGCCTGCCCATCAGTCAAATGATACAGTCATATAGTTGGATCAAATAAAACTGGCCATGGCCCACAGAGGATCCCAAGTGTCCTGTTTGGACAGTATGGTTTAGCCACTAGAGGTATGTGATACTCTTGTATGAATTAGTCCCGGGAGACTCTCAGAGCCTAGGCCAAGAAGCTGTCTGGATTTAGAGGCTGGATTTGTAGAGAGGATGGTATGGACAAGTGTTGTCAACAATTTCTAATAAAAACAGGTAGCTACTAGGAAAAAGCCACACTGAGGAGTAGCTGTGAGAACTCTACAGTTGTAGACTGTGTGTTTTCTTAATTTGAAAAGCGTAAAGTGGAAGTGTGGGGTTCACTGGGTATCCAATCCTTGATCCCAATGACCTGAGGGCTCATTTCGATATACCAATGGGTGCACACCAGAGCTTCTGATTCAGTAGGTTTGGGGTTGGCCCAGAGAGACCCCACGTGAAGCCCAAACTGCTGGTCTAGGTTCACATTTTAGAAAAATTTAGTGTGTGATTTTTAAACCCAGAAGATCTAGCTACTTTCCTTGCCAGAGAGGAGACAGGATTCCACGGACCTCATTTATGTCAGAAGATGCTGTCAGCCTTTGTGTTTATGTGAGTACTCAGTAAGTGTTAGCTCCCCCTCTTCTCCACCAAAAGTGAAGGTTCCAGAAATGGCCTGGTGTCCAATCCCTGCAGATAATGTGGAGGAGTAAAGAAGCCACATGTGGGAGCCTGAGCACAGTCAGTGGAACTAAGTGTGGGACCGTGGTTCTCCTATAATTCAGCTCACAGCTGTCAGGTTTCCCAGACATGCCCAACAAAGCAAAGGCAGTGGATTAAGTGGGACCCGGGGCCCATTTCCAGTAACCAACAGGTGTTGACAGAATGTAACATCTAAGAGGCAGCAACAGAAGAGAGTATCCGGGCAGAAAGTGACAGCGTGTGATAAGAACAAAGCAGGATACTTGTGTCTGCTTGACCCTTTGCAGATCAGAGCATCCTAACTGGCCCTAACTCCACACTTAGAGCTACAAATGAGAGCTGACCTCCAGTTCCAGTTATTTTGTTGTGCGCAGCTCTACTTAAAGGCCTCGAGGTACAGTAGCCTCTTTGCTGATGAAGAACAACTGCTTAGCCTGGACAGGTACCGCTTTCCTTTGGACACATCCTGATATTAAGACAGTGACTACACTGAGAAGCATGTGTTGTATCTGGCTCAGGGTTCTCTCTCCCATCCCTGGCAGTTTTTCTGGGCATTTTAAGTTGGCCCCAGAGAAATCAAATGCTGTCTGGAATTGAATCCACGTCTTTGTTCGCCTTCCTACATCCCAGGAATCGCTGCCCACTTTTAAAGATAACACACAGAATTCATCCCCATCAGACAGTAGGCCAGCTAGGGAGAAGGTGACAGCAACAGGGAGATTCTTTTGAAATGGAGCATGAGCCTTCTTGGCACTCGTCTGCTGATGAACCCTCCCATCACTGGGAGTTCAGTACTGATGATGTCCTTCCTAAATAATGCAATTTCGAGCCCAGAAGAACCAAGGCAACGGCTTCAAGGGACAACTCACCCCGTCTGCCAGGTCAGGATGTGGTGGGGACTGCTTGGTGGGGTGGCTCCAATTTCGCTTGACGGTGTTGAGCTTCTCTGGCTTTGAGGTAAGGCAGCTAGATGTAGTTGGTATGGGAAAAGCAGGGAGAAGACAGGTAAGACCAAGTGTGGAGCTCGAAACTCCATGACAAACCCAGTGGCAGGGGTTACCATGGCCAGGCATGCAGGACATGACCCTGTAGGCAGGGGCTTGGTGACCCCATGGCACAGTCAGTGGGGAAGTACCTTTGTACACACAATCCCAACTGCATTTTCTCTCAACTGTGTACTTCTCTTCTGACTGAGGCCACAAGGCGGTTTCTATACCACATAGAATGAGAAGCCCCCGTGTTTCTGTGGTGGAGACCTCAGCACAGTAGGCTGCCTTGGGCCATTTTAGAGGTGGTCCCTAAGTGAGGCTCATGCTGTACGATAGGAAGGGCCTCCAGAAAGCCCTCTGCTGTCTCTACTTAAAAAAAAAAAAAAAAAAAAAAAAAAAAAAAAAAAGGAAAGAAAGAAAGAAAAAAAAGAAAGAACAGCGCTTTTAACGGCTTTTCCAAATGTGAGTAGGAGTTTACAGATGGTGGAGATGGTGGAACACATAGAGGCCTAGTTAGAATTTAGCACCAACTAACTCCTGCTTAGATGCTTCCTTTACATCTTTTGGGGTGGGGTGGGGTGGGGGAATGAAGTCCTTTTCTTCTGTCAACCTCAGATACAATTTATTAAAATGTTAGTAACAATATTTGCCTGCTATCATTTAGTAAAGCAAATCCACACAAACACGGCAATTCTGAGAGAATGAACCACTCCTATCTACCCTTTTGCCATTGGCGCTTAATCACTCACTAAGAGGACTAGAACCGATCATGACCTTCAGAGGGCACACACAATGTATCATTCTCAGACTCTTGCCCCAGTGGCTTAGTTTACAGATAAATAAGCAGAGCAGGAAGAAGGTTGTGGGACCTTGAAATCCGAGGTGCACGTGGGACTGCCTAGGTCAGCTGTCTAGTCTCTGGAGCTTGTTTGGCCTGTGTTCCCTAATGAAGAGGGCGGTGGGGACCTGAGGCAGAAGGTTCCACTTCTTTCTTTCAGGCTCCACCCTACAAAGGCTCTTAACCCCAGATTCTAGCTTCTAAGTAAATTTCCTGACATGGAGACACTTCTTGTCCCATGGCCTCAAGAATCCAGGCCCCACTTTCAACCCAACCTTTCTTGACAAGGTTATGACCTGGGTCTCTAACCTACTGAAAGTGCATCCTTAACAGAATAAACCCTGAGACCTGACCTCACATGGCTTTCTGTCCTTAAGCAGAAGGGCTAAAGGAGCGCTTGCTCTGTGCCCAGGGTAAGGAAGGAAGCACACCAGGGTTGGCATAAGAGCCATGGGCTTCCCATGTTCCACACCAAGGCCTCCAGAGTAAACGGCTCCCTTTCTTGACTGTTAAGGCTAGGCATCCTCGAAGGTCCCCGTCCTGCCATTCTGCTCACCTGACGTGGCCTTGCACATCTGGGGCATCCTGGTGACCCTGCTGTGCGCCACGAAGGTGCTCTGGGAAGAGGTGCTGTACTGGGAGCCGCTGTCCGAGGAGGTGGAGCTGGTGTGCGACAGGCGGCTGTGCTCCTTGTGCGAGGCTGTGGAGCGCTGGTACCACTGGCGCAGCTCGTCTGACACCGCAGCACGGCCAGAGCCTTTGTCGTGGGCGCCTTCACGCCCCAACGAAGGAGTCCGCAGGATCTGGGAGCGGGAGGGCGTAAGGCGGCCTGCGTCGCCCTCGTCCCCAGCCCCGCGCCAGCTCTCCTTGAACAGGCCGCCAGCCGTGTAGGAGTTGGAGGTCTTGAACTGCGCCTTGACGCTGTAGTGGCCCTCCTGGTCGCTCTCCAGGCTGCGCACCACCACGGGTGTGGCACTGCCCTCGATATACAGTGGGTACTCCTTGATGCGGTACTGCGAGCTCGGCTGGCTCTGGCTGTGCAGGTACACGCCGCCGCCGCCCGCGCCCGCAGCCCCGCTGCGCGCGGCCAGGTTGGGCATGCTGCCGGAGCTCGCCGAGCCCAGAACGCCTGCTGCCCGCTGCCTCTGCCTCTGTCGCTGCCGCGCTTTGGATGGCGAGTCCTCAGCCAGCGTTGAGTAGTTGGCGTTCATCTGTGCCGGGTAGTAGTGCTCTGAGCTCGAGTGGCTGGTGCACGAGGAGCAGTCATCCATGGGGTCTGAGCCATTGCTGCTACGAGTCCTCGGGGTGTAGAAGTCGGGGCTTCCGGTGTCATTCTCTGAACCCAGGAGCTTGCCCTGGGACTCCAAGCTGGAGCTCCGATGCCGAAAGTGCAGTGCTAGGCTATGCAGTCTTGTGGGGCTGATGTCCACTGACCTGTTGGAGAGACAAGATTAGTCCCAGGGTTCTGGGTCAAAGGGTCTCATGAAAGCCACAGGGCAGGCCTAGGTCCTCTACCAATGGGAGAGCCCAGCAAGGTTGTCCTGGAAAGCCAGGTTTCTGGTGAGGGAAGGAGCCTAGAATCCCTGGAGGTTGAGGTAGAGGAGTGAAGCACATCTACGATTCACACGGGGTTTTCTCTGAAAAGTGCTGGCCGATATCCAGAGGGCTTCTTATGAAAACGATGCTATAGATAGGGAACCAAATTACTACGTTCTAAATATTAGCCCCTTTAAAATGTTGGTTGAAGACAGACAAGACCCCACCCCCAAAAAAAGAACAACAAAAATCTAACAGAGGCCCTCAAGATTGAACCAAACAAATACTCCTCTGCAATGAATGTCAATGGCCGTTTCCCATGAGGATTCTGAAATGGAGGGTTTGTAGAACACGAACCCCTAAACATGAACAACACAAATATATACTGATACTACCAAGACTTTGACTACGATCCAGCAGTAGCAATCAGAGATAGACCACGGTCCCAATGCCAGGGTTCCTTATGCAGGCTCATAGCGACTCTTGGCTACATACAGGCAGAAGTATATTACATAGCCCTTACCACTGACCCTCTGTGACCCAGCTTTACTTCTTGAAGAAAGGAATGTGATTCAGGAAGCCTGTTTTTCTGTTCATTTCTTTTGATCTTTATAAATGTATACCTTGAGGCATTTAAACAGGTTTAGAATACATTTAGACCTCAGGAGAAAGGTCTACAAGGAATGGGGAGCAAAGATTAGCCTGGTTATATGACTGTTGCTAGTTTTCCTGCCTGCACTCCTACTAGGGATCTTGTTAGCTGTCTCCAAGAGACTGAGGTTCTCTGGCTCTAGCTCACCTGTTACTCGGGCCAGGCTGGGGCCAATGATGTCTCACCGTACCAACCAAGGTCTGGCCTGGAGCCAGGGGCCTGAAGGCCCAGCAGACTCACCTTGTGGAATGAACATAGTGGGGACTCCGGACACGCAGGTCTGGGGTGGACGGCATGCTGGACTGGGGGTTCCAGTGTGGGAGGCCTCGGATGGGGCTGTTCTGCAAGGAGCTGCTTCCTCCCGCCTCAGTACAGCTTCCCGTGCTGGGGAAGCGCTTGTGGCTGCTGGAAGCAGAAGGAAGCCATGCTGCTCACCCATGAAAAGTGTGGCACTTTTCTTCAGTGTCAGGGGCTGACTAGCCTGGGATCTAACTGTAGGGAAAGCATGCCGAGGACTCCAACTCTCACTACCCCACATCTCCGGCCATTGGAGGGGGCCTTGTCCCCCTCACCCCTGCAGCAAGCACAGTGTGACTATTCTGTGAAGGCCTCATCTTTAACAAGTATTGTTTTCCAAGAAACAAAGTACCTGCTAGGAACCCCTCTTGGACCTGTATAATTAAGGAAAATGGAGAAAACAGAAGCAGACCTAAAATGTCTTCCAAATAGTCCTCTTTACAATGTAGATATTAACTGAGTAATGAGCTGATAATATGCAGCTCGCATTACAGCTGCCTGGCTCCAGAAATCAGCTGGAAGGTGGTGTAGGGTTCTATGCTACCTGGGGGATCCTCTGATTGGGCTCTCCTTTGCCATTCTGGAATACTGCTGGCCACAATTTCCTAATTAATTCCTGTGGAATTTAACGGCATTAAAGCCATCTGCCAACAGGTTGATTGTGAGCCAAAGCCTCCATTCTCCCCCCCCCCCCCCTGCTTTGGATGACAAATCTGTACTTCTATGGGAATGACAGCAGAGGGCTTTGTGAGCAAGGCCCGACTCTTAAGATCCAGATGGAAAACACTATCCTCTGGGATATACTGTGATGTGTGGGTGCTGTGTGGGGTGAGCCTTTGCTTCTGCTCAAGCGCAGCCAGAGACCTCGTTTGGGTGTTCCCATCACAGCTCACCTGGAATGACTATGGGAAGAGCGTTTCTTCACCTTCTCATAAGGCTCGTCTAACGAAGACTCGCTCCACATTTTGGGCTTTAAGGGTGACTTGTCATAGTCCGTGCGGTGATAGTGCATCTGCCTGAGTCCCTCCAGGGACTGCGGGGGAGGAGGCCTGTTGTGCGAAGATGGTGGCCGAGGAGGAAGTCCCTTGTGTGGAGACTGTAAGGGGGATATTGTGCTGGTAACCTGAGAATCTTCTGTGTAGACAGAAAGATGAGGAGCTGATCAGGTCATCATTTCCACAAACCCAGAGATGGAGCCTTTGCCCCAACATACAACATGGGTGCCTTGGAGCTACACATCAAATATGTGCAAGGACCCTGTGACCCTGCCCCCACTATTGGTCAATCCAGGTCAAGGCAGAGCCTAAACTGCAGGCTTAACTACATGTGAAGGGTAATAGTATCACTTTTGGCTAAGTGTGAATAAAGTCTGGATTGAATTCAGTGCACCAACAAGTGGTTACTTCATGCCAAACAGGCACATATAGTATTTATTATTATTCTGTTTTAACTTTCCTTTCTTACTTTCTATTCTTCCCTCCCTCCCTCCCTCCCTCCCTCCCTCCCTCCCTCCCTCCCTCCCTTCCTTCCTTCCTTCCTTCCTTCCTTCCTTCCTTCTTTTTCTTTTTTCTTTCTTTTGGGGCTCATGAACCCAGGGCCTCCCACATGCTAAGCAAATGCTCTATCATGGCACTATGCCATAACTTATATTCGAAGAGACACTATCTCATTTGCTTTGGGGAGAAGTTAACCTTCTTGAGGATTTTTATCTGCTCTGTTAATCACTATGTCCTCAGGGTTAGAAAGACAGCTGGCACCCAGTAGGTACTCAATAAATATTGGTTGGAGGGGAAAAAAATGAATGTAAAGTATATCTGTCAAGTATAATTAAGTGCTGGCAGGTGTGATTTTCTACCACCCATGCTTCCCCGCCTTTAAAATCTGCTTTGCCATATTTAATTCCATGATGGAGTCCAGGGCCTCGTGCATGCTAGGTTCTTCACTGAACTATATCCTCAGCTCTGATTAAGGTGTTTTACAGGAAGAGGTCCCAGTCCTGACAGCCATCTCTGGAGTGCAACTTAACACATCTGTATGCTGGATGACTTCCAAAGGAAGCAAACACATTTAGCCTAAGAAGCCGATGGATCTCCAGGCATGGTGACTCTTGCCTGTAATTCCAGTACTTGGTAAATAGAGGCAGGCAGATCAAGGCCAGCTTCAGCTACACAGTGAGTTTAGTACTGTTCTCAGCCACCTAGGACCCGGTCCAGTTATAAACAAAACAAAACAACAATCCCCAACCAAACCCAAAAGGTGCTGTCTGGAAGGAAATGAGCCATGGGTCAGAGAAGGAAGGAAACCGAGTAAAAACGTTGAGGTAGGGGGAGTGGATACCAGGAGATTTTGCTTGGCTGAGGAGATGGAGGGAGGGCTTCTGAGTGAGGCTTGGTAGCATGGGACCGTGAATTCCAGGCAAGGAGTTGAGATTTGGCTTGAAAGCTACAAGAAAATGTTCTTAGCTTAAGCATAGACGTGTTGGGGTGAAAATCCTGCTCTAGAACTATTGTTCTGGCTGTTTTGACCCTGGGAAAACCAACAGGAGAGACTAGGAGGGTTTATGAAGAAACCTGGTGGTGGGAACCTGGGAAAGGGTGGCTTTGGGAGGAGAGGGATTGCTCAGTGCTCACAGGGAAGGGGGCAGATAGAGAGAAATTTCACCAACCATTTATGGGGTCCTATATACATTCTCAACTCTTGGTTTTTCATAACCTAATTCTTGTCACCAAGATCCAAAGGCCACATGTATCTGCTCTGGTCTGCCCCTGCTTGCTCATCAAATTAGACAGGAGGAGTCCCTAGCAAGTGAGAGCCTCAACTGGAAATACAGGACACAAGGGGAGGCAAGAACAGCTCTCAGGAAGTTGGAGGCCTAGGGCATATGGGCAAAACTGTAATCATCATGTCTATATATTAGCCAATTTCTACACGGTAACTCCTAGCACAAGGGAACTTCACCAACTTCCTCTTTCCTTAGCAGACCGGAGTGACAGAGATCAATGGTAGGATCTCTGTCTCATATTCCCAACAGGCTTCTGTGTGCTCATGGAGCACCATGTCTTCCCCACCCACTTAATATGGCAGACAGTAAAATTCGACAGTCTGATTTCTAAAATCAAGGCCAAGGCAACTGAGTAACTAGCTCCACAGGCTTTCCCCACATCAAGAGCAATCGTTATTATTATGGCAATTATCATTATTACTGTGACTTGGGTAAGCCTTTTATGTTTTCTGTCTGAATAGCCACTTACCACTGGCTGCCTGAGGTTTTCCTAGAGGGCAAAAAAATTAACTACCAGTTAATAGATTTCCATATAATTAGTGCCCTCATCTTCCAATGTTTTGGTTTAGCAGCCATAGGAATAGCTTCAGAAAGGGTTCTAAGTCTGGAATGCTTGCTCCTGCTGCAGGGGCGGGAGGGGCTTTGAACTGCTTTTCTCTAAGACTCAACCAAGCAAATATCCTGGCAATTGCCAGGTTTGAGAATTCAACAGGAGCTAAAACAACAGCTTCTAAGGTTGTCCATGTTGCTAAAGGGATATTCCCACTCCTGTCTTAGAGAGGAGCAGAAGATAGGCCAGGTCCTTCCGATAGCTCAGACTCTCCAGTAGGGCCCAAGCATTTCTGTGTAACTAAAATCGATGTCAGGGCTGCCCAAAGGAAGATACACAAGATGCAGGCTGTTTACTTCAAAAAGTTCTACTTGTTTTCTTCTGTTTTGTCCTGAGGGTGGGGGTCAGGGCCTTGCATATGCCAGGCAAATGCTCCACTGCTGAACTATACTCCCAGGCCCTTGTTTGTTTTTTACACAAGGCCTTGCTATATGGCTCAGGTTGGCCTTGAACTTTTGATCCCCCTGCCTCTATCTCCACCTCTCAGGTGCTGGGAATGCAGGATTAAAACTACCATGACAGCCAAAAATGTGGTTTGACTATTAGAAAAACAAAATACCACTTCATGAATACCACACAGGGTGTCCAACCTTTTGGCTTATCTGGGCCACAATGGACAAAGAACAAGTCTCCAGGCCATATATTCCAGGAGTGTCCAACCCACGCCCGTGGATTATCAGAGCATGCGTATATTCACTTCCTAGGCTATTGGAACACAAGGGCTGCAGGTAGGATACCCGGAAAATGAGTGTCAGTGCAGCACCACTGAGCTCAACAGTGACTCCTGGGGAAGGGTGGAGCCTGCAAGTCGTCCAGTCGCTCTCTCAGCCTGCCTCTTTCAGTCTGCAAGGCCCTTCCCAAGCTGCACTGCAGAATAATCTGGGTTTAATCTAGATGACACTTTTAAGAGCAGGGAATGGAGGAACCTACCATCTTCAAGAACAAGGGCATCAGAGAGAGAGCTGTCCTCACTGGCGATGTTTCCATCTAGAAGACAAAAAGGGAAAGTCTACAGGGTTAACGGGTTCTGGAAACAAAGAAAGCCCTGTGTATAGCAAAGAACAGCCTGACACTTGCCCCTTCCTGGCAACACCCTCACACCTTTCTTTCATCAGCAAGGAAAGAAGCCATGAAACATAAAGATGGTGTTGGGTGTCCCCTTTGACAGTCCTGGTTGTCCGCTCATCCTCCCCACCTCTGCTCTGCAATGGGCCCTAGTCTCTGTGTACTTCATGCTCTTGTTCACCAGATACTGTGGCTTAGCATGTCATAGAAAGGTGGCAGGGCCTGGTTAAGCCACACCATTGTCCTAGAGCAAACTCAGGGCAGGTATCAGCCGAACCAACAAAAATGAGCAGCTGTTAGTGAACAGATCCGAAACTAGGAGAGGGAGCTTAGTTTTGCTCACACGGCCATAAATGGTTTCTCAATGAACTAGAGTTATGAGGAGAGGAAAAAAGCATGCTAAATACAGACTCCATCTCTCTAAAGCTTATTTTTATAGTCACCATTCAATTAGGAGCATACCTGGGAGGGAGACAGTAAAAGTCTTCCCTCCCACTGGGGAAACTGAGGTACTCCCAGGAAAGAGGGCTTTGTCTGAAGCAACTCTGCTCACTGGGAAATGTTAGCAAAGGTCCAAAGTCTTGAGATTTGGAGTTTAGGGTTTCATCTTGAGATGAAACACATGCTGAGGATCTAAGGAGCTTGATCACTCCTAACGCAGACGGGCCTCTGTGATGATGAAAACATTACTTCATTGTGGCAGTGAAGCAGAGAAGGCAGATTCTTGAGCAGTTAACAAAAATGGCTGGAGGCTTGCATGAAAGGAATCAGGAGCTGGCACAAGCAATGATTTAGAAGCCAGTGCTGCCAGCAGACCCAAGAGAATAGCCTCCACTCAGGCAGGCCTCAGAATGGGCTCCCTGAGGCCACCCTGTGCGGCAGGCGCTCCCCAGGCGGCTTCCCAAACATAGCACTCATGGATCTATTCTACAGAGCAGGGAAGTTCAAATGCCTTCAAGAAGGCCCCGAAGGAGGTGATGACAAGAAGGACTGACTGAGTCACTGAGGCCCTGTCAGGAAGTGGAGGAAAGTTCCATTTTCACGGCAAAGGACCACGGAAGAAGATACAGAAAGAGGGGTACTTCTGAGTTCCTAGAGCAAAAGGTTGACTTCTATGGTCAGCCCTCTCCCAACTACAAACTCACTCTCTCACCATTATTTGGTAGATGAGCTCCAAGTCAGAGGCTCTGACTTAGGTATCTTGTAATCTCTGGTCCCCCACTGCTTTAGTGTCCCCACATTTTAAAGAAATATCTATATATATTACAATATACAATATACATAACATTGGTTATCATTTTCACCCTTTTAAGTGTTCAGGGGCCTTAAGTACATCAGCATGGTTATACAACCACACCACAAATTGTCTGCTTGGATAGGGCTTCCATTTCCCAAACTGAAACACACACACAAACACACACTGGAAACCCCTTCATTAGTTTCTGTCTTCTTAGAACTAAGGTATTCTCAATATACCCTATGGGAGACTACTAACATATTATCAAGAATTCAGTGACTTAGAAAAAAATTAAAGCTAGTAACTGTGGCAGAGAGATATGATGTTTGTTGGTGGATTTGAGGGCATTTCTTCCAGTTTATCATCGTCACCTAAACTCCTGAGCCTGGATATGAACACATACTCCAGACAGTCCATGATGGACAGTCCAATCCTTTAAGCTACAGTTCTTGGGATAAGAAGCGCCTGGTCATAGACTCAGCCTGAGGGAGACAGACTGCAGACAGGGTGGTGGCCTGCAGGACTTACTCTAGTACCGTAGCTATGCTGTTTGCCTTCCGTCTCAGGGAAGGAGGCTAGAGGACTGCAGAGCCTCAGCTGTCTTGTGGCCAGGCTGGGCTATCCCAGTAACCTCCTTACTTCCTGGTGACATCCTAGAAGACAGTTGGCTCATCCCAGGTTCCCCCAGAGATGTGTTATAATTGGCATCGGGGGTCTGTGTATGGGCCCTTTCATCTGTGCCTCCACGTGCAACTGACTATTAAAATGCGACATCAGGCTTACATTCATTCTCTTTTAGAGATGGCCGATAGGTATGTGGGTCAGAGGCTATTTAAGACCTCGCAGGACCCGGCTGTCTGGGAGCAAGGCTGGAGCTTGGGAGTGACACTGACCGTCTATGACCAGTGAAGCCCTCTGGGTGGGTTTCTTCCCTGACTTGATTCGGTTCTCGTTGATCGCGTTTTCAATCTCCTGCAGCTTCTTCAGTGCATTCAGATAGGAGGTTTTCCTTTGCTTCTTCAGTTTCTTGCTGACATTGGGGTCACTGGCGAGGCGGCGGGCGGCCTCAGTGATCTGGGACTGAATGGCAAACTCTCGCTCCAGACGTTCCAGCTCGGCTTCCTGTGAGATGGAGGAAAACACAGGCTTAGACCTAGAGACGCTGTCGCCTAAGGAGAGCCTGCCTTGTCCACCTCCAGCCCCGACCTCAGCTTTTCTGGGCTTTCTTTCTCTCCCTCGGTCTGTTGAAGACCAAGCGTTAGAGGAAATTCAGAAGCCGTTGCTGTCATTTTCTTTTAGTACTGTGGGGAAAAAGACAGCATCTTTTCTGGAACAGCCTCCTGTCACTGTCCTCGGGGTTTGTTCATAGATGTACACCTCCTGACCCTCCCGCTGTCCCCCTCTGTCGTGCATCTTTGTGTGTCTCATGTTAGGACACATCCCTACTCACCTCTGTCTTCTGGAAGGGCTTTCTGCAAGCCCTAACTGTTCTGTTCACACTGTGTTCATGAAAGCCCTTGTGGGCCCTCCAGAAGGTTAATGGTGTGGGGGTGGGTAGTAGAACCAGTTTTCCCCTGCTCCTTGGATAGGTTTCAGGCTCTCCTTTCCCTCCTTCTTGTGCAACTCCCTCCTATCTCTATCACTTCCTTTGGCCCTTTCACCAAGATGAGTCTCCCCTGAGTTCTGGACCTGGAAGAAATGAGGCTATGGGTGTCAGATATGCCTGGAAGACCCACAAGATTAGTGCCCTGGACAGAGCATTTGCTGCTGGCCTATTGTCCAGATGTCTCCTGCAGCTGTACCCATCCCAGCGGGTGCTAGGGTTGCAGGCAGGTCACGCAGGTGCCTTAGGATCTGTGATTGAATTCGGAATCCCCTTAAGTACCAAGGAGCTCGCTTTGTTGTTTTTTCTCTTCTTCCCGGTTTTATACTTTGGATGTAAACTACCCCTTGTGTCTGGCTACCAGCTGCTGGTAATCTTTAGGAAGTGAGTCCTAGATAGAAGAAGTAGATGGCTAGAAATGTGTCTGGGTGGGAGGGTTTCGTAGTGTTAAACTCAGCCTCCTGCCTAAGCAGTCTTTTTCCTATCTGATGCCAAGAGTTAACAAGCCTCAACATAAGCCCCAGCTTCCTCTCCACGATGAAATGATAGTCCTTGAAAGCAGGAGCCAGAATAAAACCTTTGCTATCCAAGTTCCTTTTGTCGGGCATTTTGTCATAGTAACAAGAAAGAAAACTGACTTACTAGTGAAGCCACTTCCTGGAAGCTAGCCCAGAGCAGTTTAAGTTACTCCAGAGTTTGAGTATCTGGTGGGAACAAGGGCTAGCAGCCTGGGCACGTTCTACGAGCTCACAGGAGATACAGACTCTGAGGAAGCCCGCACTGCATAACCCTATGATGAGTGTACAGCAGCTTCTCTTTTCCCAGTACCCACACATGACCATTGAAGACCACATGTCTTGTGCTAGGTGATTTGTGGTTACATTAAAATTTGGCAGGAATTGACCAAACTAAGGAAGAGGAGACTGCTGTGTTTCCCGGATTCCACATGTCTTCCTATTATGGTGGCTCAATAATATGTCTCTGAGCACAACAGGCCAGGCTGGGGGTTGGGGATGGGGAGGCCTACTAAGGAAAATACTCTTTGCATCGTTTCATTGACCTCTGAGCACTTCAAGTCTAGAGGAGGCAGGAACCAGGAGTGGGAGGAAAAAGTAAGGGCTAAAAGGAGCCACTTAGACAATAAACTCCTTCCAAATCCTTCCAGCGCTGGCCACACTTGTTCTCTCAGAGGAAGAAGGATATCAGCATGGATTCCTGCCCAGAACCTTGAGTCAGGGACAAAACCCCATCTGAATATGGACTCCCTAAAGCAGCTGTTCCTGGGCGGTTATGATAGCTCTGGTCCAAGTCACTGACCCTGAGATTTGTAGGCGTCCAGAACAAGTCATGATATTCCAACCCAGTCAAGGCCAAGATGAAATGTCTGTGGAAACAGCCCCATGGCCAGGAAAGCAAAGCCAATATCCAGGAGAGCTGGGGCATTACAGGACAAAAGTGAGGCTCTTCCTGTCAGGAGGGGATGCTGCAGAATCCTATCTGCTTCCTTTTTATGAATTTCAAAAAGATGCACGGGGGCAGGCATGGAATTCCCAGAGCCCTAGAGTTGGCTTTCTTGGAAAGTGAGGGGTGGGGGGAAACATCGGGAAACTCAACCGCGCATGGAAGGTTGCTCATTAAGCACGGGGTGCTTTTTAAAGCTTAAGTTGTAATGACGACCCAGCTTTCAAAGACACCTGACCACATGGTGCTCTAAGTCTCCCCTTCCTCCACAGATCATCTCAATTTCCAGCAGCTGTTGGTTGAGCATCAGGCATGTGTCCAGTATTCAGTGACACTGTCTTCTGGTTCATTTAATCCTAGTGATAACACTGGGAGGGAAGCACCAAGAACTGGAACATATGGAGGAGGAATAGATGTATCACTCTGGATGAAGCGCTCTGCTGTGCCGAGCAGGGATCCAGGACTACAGGTCTTAGGCACAGGCCTGGTCAAGCCCTCCGCCTTCCCACTGACCTTTCTTTAGGAAAATGTCCTTCTCCAAGTTCCTTAAAGGGCCCAAAGTGCCTTGCTTTTCTTTCCCTTTGTGGTGGTTACTCTGAATTATCATATATCTGTGAGGGATTTTTTGTAGACTAAGTTATCTAAAATGGGAAGACCCTCCCTAAACATGAGTGACGCTGGTTCCACGAGAAGAGGAGGTAAGCTGAGCAGCAGCGCTCACCACTTCCTGCTTCCTGACTTCAGACACAGTGTGACCAGCCACCTCAGGCTTCTGCCGCCAAGCCTTCCCCAGGATGACTGTACGCTCAAACTGTGAGGCAAAGTAAGCCAGCCCTCCCTCCCCCCCTTCCTTCCTCTGCTCTTGCCAGGACATTTTGTCCCAGCACAAGAATAACTGACATGCCAGGCTTTGAGTCCTGAAGTGTTCTTGAGTCTTCTATTGCCTAGAATATTAATGATTAAGTAACTCTAACCAGAAGAAAATTGGGGAGACCTTGAGGTCTGAAGGTGAATCTGGCACCTGGCTTTTTGTTTCTCTTGGACGAGGGTTGGATATTTATTTATTTATTTATTTATTTATTTATTTATTTATTTATTTATTTATTTATCTATCTATCTATCTATCTATCTATTCATTCATTCATTCATTCATTCATTCTTTCATTCAAGACAGTGTCTCCCTATGCAACTTTGGCTGTCCTGGAACTCACTATGAGACCAGGCTAGACTGAAACTCAACGATCTGCCTGTCTTTGCCTCCCAAGTGCTAGGATTAAAGGTGTGTGCCACCATGCCCAGCTGGGCTTTGATTAACCTCCAATATGAATTCCCCAGTCTCAGCTCTCACCAGGGTTCCATGCAAAGAAGATAAAAATCATGTCGGAAATATGGCTTTTCCAAATACTGACAACTGAGGCCATGACAGAACAAGTGGAGGATGCATGTCTATGCAGTGATTTTAGCCGCCATGTGACGTAAGATAGGAGAGGGCAGGCCTTTCTTGTCATTCCCCAGCCAACGAGAACTGTGTTTTCTTCCACAGAGCACGCATCAGGCTATACCAAGAGTAACAAAGGGCTGGAAGGCCATTACAGACACATGTATTTGCATGTTACTGGAATGTTCTCCCCAACCTTAACTGGCCAATTGCAAATGGTCTACAGTGTTAGATAAACAACAGAGACCCAACTATGTGCACTAAGGCAAGCAAACTCAGCCTGTAAGGAAAACCATAAAGCAACTAGCCAGCTCACCCAAGAAAGGTTAAAAGGAAAAACACGGGCATTTGGAACCAATGAAGACATTGCAGAGAGCCTAGGAGCCCTGACAAGTGGGGCAAACAAAGATAATGTGAAAGGGATAATGGGAAAGACTCCAACATCAGAGGAACATACCTCTCCTTTAGGCAGGATTTTCTGTTCATCCAGCTTGAAAGCTGTTCCAATTCTTCTCCGAACAATGGGTGGCTCCTCTCCTGGATCCAGGGGATATTCAACAGGCAGTTTGCCTGTGAGTTCCTGCACGTGCAGAAGAGCATTCAGGGGCTGTAAATAGGGCGTGCCTGCTTGTCTTTGTTCTAGGGCACAGAGTGCGACGCACAGATCCGATGTGCATTAAGCACTGTGCCTAAATAAGAGTTCGTGAGCTAGGTGGATCTGAAGGTATGGACTTGCAACCCAGTCACTCAGGCTGAGGTGGGAATTTAAGACCAGGTTGGCTAACTAATGAAACCCTGCTTCAGAAGACACACAAAAAAAATGAACCCTCCCCCCCCCAAAAAAAAAAAAAAGATTCACAGATATATTTCAGTGGCCGTGTGTCTGCCCAGTATGCCTGAAGCCCTGAGCAATCCCCAGTGCTGGTGGTGGGGCAGGAGAGGAGAGTTCGAATTATACAATTTAACCTCTACAAGAAATGAATGTCAGAATCCCCTTCTCTACAGAACAGATGTGCTTTGTTGTTTCCTTCCCCCCAGATTTTGTTCTAGGAAGCAGAATTTCCCTTGGACTCCACAGTAGTCCACTTTCATTCATCTGCTGATCTGGCAAACGTTTCCTGTGATCCTGCTCTGTGTGAAGAGAGGCCACATGGCCAGACGGCAGCAATCAATGCAGCTCGTTCTTTGCACACGCATCCTTTATTTTCACCCAGAAACTGAAGGGGTTTTTTTTTGTTTGTTTGTGCTTGGTTTTTGTTTGTTTCCTTCTTTCTTTTTTCCCAAACAAGTTTTCTTATGGGGGGTGTCACCTGTTTGGTAAATGCTGGGAAAATGCACTCCCTAGAAAAGACTGACTATGTGATCATCATTCAACTCTGGCCCCAAACTCAACAGTGGCAGGCTGACCTCAAAGACCGGGTATGCCTTTGCAAGCTTATATCCCCAATACTCAGCAGCAGGACCACGAGTTCAAGGCCAGCCTTGGCTACATAGTGAGACCCTGTCTTAAAACAACCAACCACTAAATTTTTGTGTGAGAAAAACTAAACATGAACAGAAGAAATACATACACACACGAGGGGGGGGATTTCTGGTGTGTCTAGGGCTCTGGAAAGCTACCTAGCTACCATATGGACACAACGATAGTGAGAAGATGCCAGGCTCCACAGTGACTATGGGCCAGCATGGATGACCTGAGGAATGACTCAGAAGGCCACGCATGAGTGTGTTACATCTGGGCTGAATGAGGATCGGTTTAAGTCTGCAGCTGACCCGGGCTGTGGGAGCTAGACAGGAAGTCACTGCAACACCAGAAGAGGCTGACAACCCCACTCAGTGCCTTCAGCAGGGCATCCCAGGCCTGGGTGCCCACAGCAGGCACAGGAAGGGTCCCCAAAAGTCCTACAGGGAGTGTGTGTGCACAAGTACCCCCTCCTGAGCCTCCCCTTCTCTGTGCTCATATCACTGGAAGTAGTTTCTGGGATCTTTTAATTTAATCCTTAGTAGACAGTTTAGAATGTTAGAGCAAGATGACCCACTGTTTGATGACTGCCTCTGCAGTATTCTCTGTTACAAAAAGGTTCAAGTGTCTCTCAGATAGTTGCATGTTTATCCTGTGACTGCGTACCTGCTCCCTTCTCAGGCCTTCTACAAATAACAACCTGTTACGATTCTTATTTTAATATATATATAAATAGCAAACTGTCAGGACTTCCTTTTCTGACACTTATGAAAAGGAAAGAGAGGTTCCTAACATTGTCATGGATTTGTAACTCTGGAGTGTTTGTGGTTTCAGTCTATATTTTTAAAACAAGGCTACTGATTTTCCACCATCTGCTTGAAAGTACCCAGGTCAGGGTCTTGATTCTCCAGATACTTAATCTGATTTCATAGGTAACCAGAGCCACACGGTGAGGAAGTAATTTAATGTGCAGCAGTGGGCCCTCTTGCTGTAAAGGCCCACAGTTCCCACACTGCCTCACTCTGATGCTTGCTTCCCAAGGGGTCAAACAGTGTTTCCTGCCACTTGAGCCTGGAGATGTGTGAGCAGAGACTTAGCTCCTAGGCCCCTTTATCTCCCTGTGTCAAGGGACTTTGGGGAAATCAACAGGACGTGGACAAAGGGCTGGCTTTTAGGGTTGTTTCTACCTAAGCTATATTTTGTATACTCAAAGTTGGAGGAAGTAGGAGCTTTTGTTTTCCTTATATTGGGTTTGCGAAACTTTTATGGCACATGCTGGCCTTGCCTTGACATGCTTCTGACATGCCGTAATGTATACTCTTTGCTTGGCTTAGGGACTTCTTTTATTAAACACAAAACAAGGCTTTACAAATTATGAGAGGCAGACACCAAAACCCGTATTTTTTCTCTCTCCTCCAAGTATAGTCTTTATTAAAAAGCAAAAATGTTGCTAATATTTACAGTATCATATAGCACATGCCCGCCCCCAGCCCCCACCCCAGTCAGGCCCATGGCTTTCCTGATTTGCAATGGATTTCTGCTAATGTGGTTCTGCCTTGAGCAAGCTCCAGTTTAAATCAATCCAGACGTAATTAAGCCAAGTTGAAATATAATATGATCTCACTCTCAGGCCCACTGTTTCCTCCTTCCTGCTGCAAGGCATTATTATTTGTGGGGGAGGGGCATTCACCTCCTGGATTTCGTTAGGGACCCTTTTTATGCTTCCCGTTCAGAGCTGTTTAGCCACGGAGCTTTTGGTCACGGTCTGTGGAACACAGCCACTCCCAGGAGAGCAACCCCACATTGTGCTCATGTGAAGCACACAGACACACACACACACACACACGTGCACACGAGTGTATGTATTACACCAAGAAGTGAACTTCTAACAGAGAGTTGTGGAATCAACAGAAGGGAGGAATGGACATTTCAATATGTGGCAAAGCAGACTGTGGGTTCTCTACATACTCTCCATACTTGAGACCAGCACTGAAACAGGCTGAGGAAGACATTGTGGGGTATGGGGTTGGGGGTGGACACTGTGGCTGTGTGTGGAGGTCAAGGACAACCCTTGGGTGTCAGCATTCATCTTCAGCCTTGTTTGAGACAAGGCCTCTTTGTTTTCTTGTCACTGAGTATGCTAGGCTAGCTGGATCACTGCCTCCTATCTCACCACAGACATTACAGGCGTGTTCTACTCCACCAGGCTTTTATCTGAGTTCTTGGGATTCAACTCAGGTCCCCACACTTGCGAAGCAAGTGCTTTATCTGTTGAACCATCTCTCTAGCCCAATGCAACATTGCTTTACTTGAAACTTAAATGAGTCACTATGCTGGGTATATATATATAGCTCAGTGGAAGAACACTAACCTAGCATGTGTGAGGCCACAGGTTCAATCCCCAGTTGCACAGAAACAAACAAACAAGCAAAAACAACAATAACAAAGACCCAACAAACCACCACCACTACCAACAGCAGCAGCACCAAACTAGGAAAAGACTCCATTTTTAAAAAGAAAGAGCTAAAGGAACTGAAGATCAGCAGGCTTAAAGGGATGCCTGTATATTTCAGGTGACATCCGGGTGTCCTTGTTTGGCCTCCAGTGAAGCTACATTGTGTCCAAAGACAAATTCAGAGGAAGCTAAGGCTTTCCCAGCAATGAACAGGCATACGCTCCTGGGAAGCAAGACAGTGGTAGGACATTATGTGGAACGAGGGAGAGTCATGTGAGGACGTGTCCTGCACACTGCGGTATGCCGAGCACTGCTTTGGGTCTGTTAAAGCGACTGCCATATAGCCTCAGGATGTATGTGTCATGTATGAGAGTCAGGTAGGGACTGTTTTAACTGGCACTAGTGTTTCCTCAATACCTCGCTTTTGACAGAGGGTATCACAGAGGTGTGGTGTTCCCAGCACTGCAGAGGGAGGGCGCTCGTTTTCCTCAAAGTCAGCCTGTATTGTCTCCACCCTGTCTCTTGTCCATACCGAAGATGTATGACATGACAAACAACACAGACTTAATTGCTTACAGCTTCCCGGAGACACAATCTCTTCAGCTCCTCCAGCCGCTGGCGCAGCGTCTCCTCCAGAGCTTCCTGCCTGGATTTCAGGGCAGCCAGCATGTCTTTCTTGGCCGACTGCGAGCTATCTGATTCTTGAGAACCTGTCGACGAACAGCAGGGTTACTAGGCCAAATGACAGGGGACACACATCTGGACCACTAATGAATTTCACTGGAGCTCATACGGGATATGGGATTTACCCTGGGAATCAAGGAGCGTGAAATGAGACAGGTGTGCAGGGTTCCAAGCATGAGGAGTAAATTCCAATACCACATGGAATATACAGCTCCTCAGAGCATGGGCAGGAAAGCCGACACTCCTGAGCAAGAATGCTGTCATTTCTGATTAGCTTAACACGTGTCACATACCTGTTTTGCTCTCACCAGACAATGTTAATACAGTTTACACAAGGAAGGGAGGGAGTAAAGTTCAAGTTAATATTAGTAGTTTTAAGACAGGCTTTAAATTTTCTTCTGTCTACTGAAAGATGTTGGTTTTTGCTTAGTGCAATGATAATATCTGTTCATTGTAAGATATTTGGCAATGTAGACAGGTATAAAAATAATAAACTGGTCACCTAGAGATAACTATCACATTATGCATTTGCTTTTGGCCTTTTCTCCAGAAGATACAGGCAGACAGACAGGCACGCACGCACGCACGCACGCATGCACACACACACACACAAAACACAATTAGAATTTTTTCCACTATTTTATCTGAGTGCTGCATTCTGAAAAAATTCTCTCTTCATGAAGGGAATATAATATAGAGTGATACATACTTTTCAAATGAATTATACATATTTTCCGTGCTTTCCTGGCTAGAATATCTGCATGTGTCAGGCTGGTAGGTATGAAAACTTTTTAGAAGGCAACATTGTAAACCAAACAAAAGAAACATGAGTTGAAGATGCCAACTAGAGGAATTTGGCTTACACCAACAGAATAATTTCAAGGCTGTAGTGTCAGGCTTCTGGGGCAGGTTTCTTGTAGGGAGGCCGGTAGCCCTTTCTACCTTGATGGGTTATAGAAGGTGTATTCATGTACTAGAAAAAGCCAGATTAGTGGCTGCATCTCTTCTCACCTCCAAAATAGCAGAACTGTTAGAAATCAGAAGATATATCTGAGTGTGCAGCCAGGGGCTCAGACCATACCACCACCAGCACTATCCAACAATTTCACATCCCTAGAGAGCTCGTGTATGTCTGTAACTTCAGTTTCTCACGATGTTGAGGCAGGAGGGACAAAAGTTCAAGATCAGCCTGGACTACAGGAAGCCAGTCTAGAGACTTAGGCTAGGGTAGTTAAAGATGAACAACTCTACAGCGAAAATTGAAACACCTTGCTGGGAACAACTAGAGATATAAATGGATAGCGATGACCACTGTGGACCTGGATCCAGATGCTGTTTTCAAGATGTCAGCTCACCATGAATTAAGCAACACAAGAAAAGCAATTCAGATAAAATTACCAGGAGGACTCTGTGGTGGTAGGGTGGGGGTTAGAAACTCTATTTCCATAAGAGACAATTGAACGTTTGGATGGCTTAGTGACCAGATAATGGTGCGGAGGCGACCTCAGATGTCTCAGAATCCTGAGTCTTTGGAAGACTTCTGTGCCTTTGCATTAAACAACACTGCTAGACCCAAACACCTCTAAACACTCCATCTTAATCTTTAAGGTCTCTGATCAGGAAGCGCATATTCCCTTCACTCCGATTCTGCTAGATCCCTATGATCCCAGTAAGGAAGACATCTCAGTGTCTAAGTACAATGTGACTCTGACTTCGGCTTTTGTTCTCTCCCTTTTCTGGCCCATTTGAGCTTGAAATTGAAGACATCTATCACTGTAAAAACAAACCATCTTTATGCCTCCCTGGGAACAAATAAAAAATATTGTCAGTTGTATACTTGGGTGCTATGATTAAATTGTATCTCATCCCAGTAAAAAAATAATAATAATCTGCTGCTTGTATCATTCTGTTATGGAAGCTACCTTCCAAGCTTTGAATCATGTTGTAACTCTTTCCCGAGTTTTTGACATGCTTTAGTTGCAGGTGTCCAAATTCAATAGCAAACAGAGCAAAGTCTGGATCCTTGCTGAGACTCCATTACCTCATGGTTCTCACAGACTAAATCCAGATGTGCCTTTCTCAGGTATCGCATCACTGGATCTTATTGCAGGCGCCCTCTTTTACCAGAGGCTCAGGTCTTTCACAGTCCTAGGCCTACTGCCTTGTGCTTATCAGCTCTAAACCCTCTCCAGGCTACGTCCATCTAATGCAAACTGGAAAAGTCATTATGAATCATAATTGGGTCTCTTAGTACCCAGCACCATTCGCATTTGAAGACAGGAAAATTTAATGAGGCATTCTCTGTTCCATCATCTAAAAAATTAATAAGGATGTAAAATAATACTAGAAGGAAGTCAGACTTTAAAAACAGGCCTGGGGAAAACGTGGGTCCAAAAAGATTAAAGAATTTCTAGCATGGAGTGAAAAATTCACCGTTTCCCCTTCACCCTTGCCTAACCTCTCAATAGGAACTGATGATTTATTGAGTCAAACTAAGAATTTGTGATGTTCAGGAATGACACAACTCACCACAACACATTAAATTTTGGGAAGCAAGCATACAATTTGTGGATGATTGTCTGCTGTTACAGGATTAGTAAAGATTTGGCCTTGAGTAGCAGGGTTCATTACTGCTACCTAAATTATTATTTCTAATAATTAACTTAAATACCTACCCACATTTGATGGGCTAGAGAGCCTTGGCAGGCTTGATGGCTCCTGAGTCTGTCTGCATATAGCTGGCACCCCAAACGCTAGCTGGCTCCACTGCACACCGTGAGCCCGGAAATTCCTTCAGGAGGAATACAGCTCCTGGAGGCTCCGTTACACCTCCGCAAGCAACTGAACCAGGCTACTCTGGACACACAGGTTTCCCTTTTAATAGTAACTGGACAGCCAGGCAGATGGAAAACATCTGGATTTGATAAAGTCTATGCCATTCATTATATGGGAGGCTGTTGAATAAGGTGCTTGCTCTCCTATCTCAGCAGTAAATGAACGGATGAGATAATGCTTCTAAAACACTTAGTGCCTGGACTAGGTAAATTCTTCACATAGAGGTTGATTTGCTGTAAGTGGCATAGGATTAGAGAAACAGTTGAAATGAACTGTTCCTTTCTAATGAGGTACCAGTCAAAGTTAAGTTCACTCAACAATGCAGGATAGAGTGAGGACTCTAAAGCTCCATCTACAGAAAGAAGCAATGATAGGTAGAGGCAGTACCTTGAAACGATGTTTCCTAAGCACCAAGACTGCACATCTGCCTCAGGGGCTACTGCAGATAGAGTTGGGAATGTGACCTGGATACTTACTGGACTCCACCCCGTGTTTCACAAGCTTACGGCAGCTCCACATAAACTTGGTGCATTTGCCGGGCAGTGGTGCACGCCTTTAATCCCAGCACTTGGGAGGCAGAGGCAGGCGAATCTCTGAGTTTAAGGGCAGCCTGATCTATGACGTGAACTCCAGGATGGCCAGGGCTACACAGAGAAACCCTGTTTTGGCAGGGGAGCGGTGGCGGGTTGACCTTCTGCATTTGAAAAGAGAAGGGTAAGCTACTACTGGCTGTGACCTGTAGCTGAGGGCATATGGCCACCCAGAGGAGAGATGGCCACAAGTCTCAGAATGAGCTCACTGAGAGCCCCTCAAAGATCATCTGGAGGAGAAGAGGCCCATAGCTCTCTGTGAGGCTGAGCGTCCTCCACAAGTGATCTCTTGACATTCCCTGAATGGACTCTCGCCTCTTAAAAGGGAGAAAGATAGGAAGCCAGCAAACCAGGCAGAAATCAAGGGGCAAGATGCTCTCTGGGTTGGCCACCTCCATAACAGAAACTGAATCAGGACCTCAGGCCAATGGGATTGTCTCAAACTAAAAGTTTAAGACACACAAAATATGATACTTTACCCTGTCCATCTAGTTTGCTTGTCTGGAGACAGGGTCTCACTATGTAGCCCAGGTTAGTCTTGGATCACAGTGATCACTTGCCCCTGCCTCTCAAATTCTAGGAATAAAGGGGTACACCACCACATCCAGCTGACAAAAAACAATTTCATAGTCTGTATTTGGACTTGCGGAAGTCTGGTGCTATAATTTGTCCATTATCAATTATTTGAACCCATACATATTGTACTTGCAAGATCTCTTTAGGGTTATATGGAAGTCTATAAAACTGACAAAACACAGAAATCTGCTATCTTTGGAAAGGGCAGTGACTGAGAAAGACATTGGGGTTGTCATCCCTAACTACTGTTGAACAATACAAGGCTTTGGAGTTTCAACCTTTTAAGAACCATCGCTGTCCTATCTATAAAATGGCTATCCGACCAATCTTCTAAAATGCCTCCAAACTTGAAGCACTGATTACTGAATAAACAACTAACTCAGGCAATTCCTTCCCAGCCATTAGCCTTCACTTCTGCAAATTTTGCCAGCAGAATTTATATCCAGTACAACGTCCTTCCTCCTTCCTTGACCACCCAAACCTCTAGAAATGAGAAGCATTCTATCACTGATGCTGTTGCCGCCTTCTGGCAGTGGTGGAGGGTGGGGCGGGGCATGTCGAATGACCAGCAAATGCCTAAAGGATTTATCTCTTCTTCTAGCAATGGGCCAAAGCTAATATCCGTGACCGTGAATGCTAAATAGACTTAAACTGGAGCTGCCTGTAAGATGAACTAAGAAGATGGATGGATCATCTCTACCCAGATGAGTGAAATTTCAAAATTTACACATTGAAAAAAAACAGTAGCTAAGACTGTTTCATCTCTGCCCGGGGAGAGATGAAAGGAACAGTGAGATGGTGCAGTGAGAAGCAAGTGAGACGAGCATTTCTGAAAGAACGGCTGATACAGGAGCCCCCTTTAGCAGGGGGAGTGTCTACCAAGTGACACACAGCTCTACGGAAAAGGACATTCAGAACAGCCTTTGGGAAACAGACTGGTACCGTGCCCTTCTACAGCAGGAGCCTGCGCTCCTGGGGTCTCGGTGACTGGCGTTGAATATGTTTCAGCTCAGCTACTGAGTGGC